GCACTTTTTAAATCTGTCTCCTACGTGTTTCCCTCCGTTGAATTCGTTTCGTTGGAATACTTTAGGAGAGAGAGCGGAGGAGACAGCACATGGCGTTGGTTCGAGCACTGGAGAATCGTCGAAAAATGGAGGAGAAGGAGAAGAAAAGGCTGGAGGCGAGGGCCGAGAGAATAGCGACGAAGGAGAAACGCGCCGAACAGAGGAAGGTGGAGATGGAACTGATCGAACAGATCAGAAAGCCTGTGGAGGACATGGAGCTAACGGGTATGGGTTTGTTGGCTTTGCCGAGCTTTTGTTCGACCGGTTCAGAGTTTCTCTCCGTTACGTTAAGGTGTTCTCCTTCGTTTTGCAGATCACAGATCACTGCCAGAATTGAAGCGAATACCCGGTCTGAAGCTGTCTGGCCAGGCGTTCGCAGACATCGTGATGGTGTTCGAGTTTCTGCATAATTTCGGTGAAACCTTAGGCTTCGGTGAGTCCGTCTTTTTATATCGATTGCTTTCAGAGATCTGCGAATTCTTGAGAAGAAGCTCGTTCCGATGTTTCGTTTCGAAATCTTCGAAAATTCGTTTCCAATGTAATTAAGACCAATTGTTAACCAATTATCGCGTTGTCTCCACTCGCTCAGATATGGAGTCGCTGCCAAGCCTAAAGAGCCTTCAGCTGGCGCTACTGAACGACGAGGAAGCCGAGGAGGAACTCCTTTCCGTAATGACGCATCTGCTGGTATGCGCGATCGAGGATCCTGGAATCCCTCAACCAGCGAGACACACGACCGGCCTTGGTCAGAGTTTGCGTCAAGCTGACATAACGCACGCCAACATCAGCGAGGTTTTGCGAATCTACTTGTACGCGAACGCGACAGGCGAGGTGAAGGCCTTGACAGGCGTGTGTCTGGAACGAGAACGCGACAAAAAGTTCGCGGACCATCATCAGAACGGTGGTGACTATGCCTCGACTTGCTCGGGCAAGAACGCCCAGTTCTACGAACACTTGCACAATAACGAGACCTGGAAGATGTCCGAGAGGTTGAGGGACAAACCATTCCTAGCCTTGAATCCGACGCACAAGGCGCAGATGCTCGCGTTCCTCTGCAACGAGCTGTTGCAGAACAAGGCTGTGATCAGACAGATCGAGGGTAGCTTGGAAACGGTGGCTCAATTGAGAAAAGAGAGATTCGTATTGGACACGAAGATCAGAAAGTAAGTATCTCTCTCCTTCTGTCACTGCGTGCGCATACTTGCGAAGAGTGCAAATTATCAATCACAACTACTTTCGCTTATTATTGTTTCTTCACAGGCTGAGACAACTGCACAGTCGAAAAGTGCGAATGGAAGCGGTAGGCGTGATAATCAACAAAACTGGGGACACTATCACGATCGAGAAGAAAGAGGTCGACGAGGAAGGTAACACGACGTCGACGGCAGTGGGGACGACGCCTACTCCCGACGAAATTCATCACGAAGACGAGGTTGAAGACATGTCCGAGAACGAGAGCGAGGGAACTCAACCTGAAGAGGTAATCCACATACTTTCCGATAAACGAATTACATACAAATGGTTGATCGTTCTATTCCGAATGAATGATAATTTTGATTGTTTCTAACGCGTGACTTAGGAGGAGGACAAGAATTTGTCTGGCGAGGAGCTCGGCAAGAAATTGGATAAACTGTTGAAACAATCGGAAGAGCAATTGCAGAAATTGAATAGTTCCTCGAAGCAGCTACGAGCGCATATATTTGGGCAAGACAGGTACTGGCGAAGATACTGGGAACTGGCATGCGCAGGCGGCATCTTCGTGGAGGCCATGGAGAGCGCGGAACCTGAGATACTCGAGCTGCAGGCTGAACTAGACGAAAAGTACAAAAACGTGTCGGTGGAGGAGAAGACAGAAACAAAACGGGAGGACACGAAAGTCGAGAATCGCGAGAACGAAGCCCCGAACGACGTGAAGAAGGAGAAGAAATTCAATTCGAGCGAGCAAGAGGAGGACGCGAAACCTTTGACGGATAAAACGAAGTGTGAAATCGAAGATGTCAATTGCAAGAAGGAACCGATGCAGAACTGCGAAAATTTGACGAACGTGAAGGAGGAGAAGAAGAACGATTTGGATAATTCGGTGGCCGATGCGAAGACCAACGTCACGTCTGAAGAGATTAAACAGGAAACAGAAGTGGTCAATATGGATGTGGACGCGAAAGAAGAGACGAAGAAAGAGAACGACGAAACGGACGAAGATGTGAAACCAGCGGTGAAAATGATGGAAGATAAAATCGTCGAAACGATCCCAAATGGTGACAAGTTCAACCATGTTAATAACCTTCACAACGGAAAGGAATTAAACGGCACCTTTATTTCTAGTAAGATTTCTTTCGTTTATCGCTGACAAATCAAGTCGTCGCCTGGATCGCTCCAGATGTGTTTTATTATATATTTTGTTTGCGCGCACAATTGCAGATAACAGCAACGAATCCAATTGGTTCTCGATTTTACCTCGGGAGACCTGCGATACTCCAGGACCAAGCACCAAGCAAATATTTGGCATAGCCGAACCAACCGAATTAAGAATACCAGTATTCCCTCCGCCGGCTAGTCCGAACTACGACAGATGCGACAGTCCAGCTCCGTTGATTTTGACCCAGGACGAGGCAGCGCAACTTGAATACTTGAAAGTGCACGGTTTGCCACCTCCTGGAGAAGCGAAGCCAGTACCGAAGGGTAAGTGTTACGCGAGTTTAACAAAAGCTCTGATTAAAATTTCCAAGAGAATCACGTTCCCTACAATTCGCGCGCGTGTGTCTAGACCTGAGATACGGTTGGTGGAGAATAACGGACGTCGACACGTTTCAAGAACTGTTGGAACACCTTCATTCCCGCGGCGTTCGCGAAAAGGAGCTAAAACGAACAACGTGGGCGACCATGGAATCCTTCCTAGCTGTTACCGGCAAGATCAACGTGGATCCTGGTAACCTGACCGCTACCGAACTTCAAGCGACGCCCGACGAACCTGACACACCGATCCCGAAACCAGACAACCCTGCAGACTGGAGCGAACAAGTCGCGTTACGTGTGGATGCGCAATTATTGGAACAAGTCGAGGCACTGGAAGACAAAGTTGCAAATGCCAGCATGCAGGTCAAAGGCTGGAAGTTACCTCCACGGGCAGGAACCGAAGAGGCCGAAGAAATTGAGAAACTGAACGAAATGGAGAAAATTAGCGCGGTTGAGCAAGCTCGACAAAGGTTACTGTCTTTGGAAGCAGCTATCGAGAGGAGATACTTGAAACCACCATTAGGTGTTTGGTAAGACTGTTTAATCTATTAGCGCCTCAACAAGATCCCCTCTACATTTCAATTGGGAAATGAAATGTCATTTTATCTCTTTGTTTGTTTTTTCTTTTTAAATTACAGTACGGGAGATCCAAACCTGGCGGCTTTGAAGGCAGAGCAAGCGGCCGCTGCGAACGCAAATTCGAGTAATTCGGATCAGAGCAATCAGACCCCGGTACCTCAAGAAGAAACGACTCCAAGGGGGCTGAACAACTGGCGAGAAGCTACGGCACGAGCACATACATCCGCTCAGCTTGCTATGGCGCTTTATATGTTGGAGGCCAGCATCGCTTGGGACAAGAGCATCATGAAGGCTGTGAGTCTAACACCAGCTAGAAACTCGGTCTGCGTCAAGCTACGAAACCGCTGCGTCTCACTCAAAGCTACCACTCAATACAATCAGCTATTGACTACTTCTCAGACCTCTGTGGGTATTCGCACTAACTTACTAACCAAAGTATCCTTCTTACTTCCTGCGTGACTTTATTCTCCTTCCTTGCACAGTGAACCACAGAGAACATTGTCACTTTCGACGGTAATTGGTCAAACGAAATCCTTATCGTGATACTTTGCAATAATATACGTATTTCTATACCCGTCTCGTGGTAATCTTTACAACAACTGCGAATAATGCGGCAGCCATTTAGCGAAAAATCAAATACCGAAGAATTCGATTATTCGATGTACTTTGATTATTGTTGTTCAACATATAATTCGGAAAAAAAGAAATAATAATGCGTTAATGCGTTTAATGGTGGTTAGAGTTTAACGTAACGGTAGCATGCAAGAGAATATGCCGCTTATCGTCTGCTAATTTTTCCCTTTATTGCTTCATATTTTTCCTTTCGTAGAATAGCTTCGATATTTAGTTATGACAACGTCACATCATATGCATAATCTAAACATACATTACGTTATTTATTTGTCCCAATCAGTTGTTACCATATTCAATCTTAATTATACGATACTTAATCATAACACAATCGGTTAATGCACGGAATTAGGATTAAAATGCTTTACGCTAATTTCTTTAATTATTATTATTCTTCCCGAATGTTGATTTATCCCATTCATTTGTTATATTTTTTGCTGATTAACAGATTTGTTGCATCGATGGGGTTTGGTTCTAAATGCTTGAATAACAAATACTCTGACATTGAAATTAATTTACCCCGGCTGATCTTATCACTTTAAATTGGAAAGTTTCCTCTTTCTGTTACAGAATTGTCAGTTCTGTCATAGCGGAGATAATGAAGACAAATTATTATTGTGTGATGGTTGTGACCGCGGCTATCATACTTATTGTTTCCGTCCAAAAATGGAAAACATTCCTGATGGTGACTGGTAAGGAACTACCAATAAATACCAATTCGAACGTCTAGCAAATAATAAGAACTCCATTTGTAATTGAACAACTGTGAATGCCTTAGGTATTGTCACGAATGCATGAACAAAGCTACAGGAGAACGAAACTGTTTGGTATGTGGAAAGAGGGTTGGTAAAAACTTAGTGCTATGTGAACTCTGTCCACGGGCTTATCACACTGACTGCCACAATCCTGTTATGCCAAAAGTAAGCAACTCTTTTATCCAACTATTTACAGAACATCAAGTAAATTGACGTTCTCCTTGACCTACTACTTGAAAAAGTAGAATAAAATATTTTTATCCACCGTGATTCACGTGAGCATGATATTTTCAGATGCCAAGGGGAAAATGGTATTGTTCTAATTGCCACAGTAAGCAACCAAAGAAGAGAAATAGTAGTCGAAGGAGTCATACCAAAGGGGGAGGCACCAGAGAAAGTGAAAGTTCTGAACATCCACCAGCTAGGTGATTACGTTAAAAAAACATTGTCAACCAAACATTGTCAACTCGCTAACTGAACAACGTTTCCATACGAAGTATACAGTAGGGGAAAAAACAGCTACGAAACCATGACTCAATAATTATAACATTGTTCAGCGAACGCATACGATGAACAAACAATTTCCGAATCGTATAACGAAACAAAAACAAAAACTGCTTTAAAACGAACGAACATAGAAAGTATACACTGTTCTCATGCGATTATACCGACTTACATCCCCGACTTATATCATACATATTCGACGAGAATTATTGTTGTAAGGAAGTAATTTACTTCATACAGGGTGTTCCACGATAGGCTAATCGTAGTTAATGTTCTTCTATTAACTAAAAAGCAATCGTCGATAGGTAGGTTTTTCTCCGTTCGAGCGAAGTGAATATATTATGTGAATATATATATTGTCGTGTTAGGCCCCTTCTCGTCGGGGAACACCCTGTACTTTGTGTACAGCGTGTTACGATCATCGACTATGGGATGGGTATTTTCCTAGATAATTCGTCGTAACGGTAGTGCTGTCGTCAGGTTCTATGATTACTCGAGAATGTATAAATAATAATAATAATAATAATAATAATGATATTAATATTAATATTAATAATAATAATGATAATGATGATAATAATAATAATAATCATAATGCTAATAAAGTCTAGAAGGACAGAAACGGCGAGAGAGAAAAATGCGAGACCAAGTAAAAATGAAAGACAAAGAGTCAGAAAGACGAAATGTTCCATCCGAGAACAACGTACCCGTCTCAAGCAGAAAAAACACGCTCGAATCTTAATGCATTCGTCCAGAAGCTTTTATGACGGAAAAACCTCCTGCAAACGAGAAAGATAATCGTGCAAATAATTTCTGTTGTTTTGCGTCACAGTCCAACGCCGTCAACGGCATCGAACACACACGTAGAGGACGTCAGTTCATCGGAACCAGCAACCCCAACTGCCTCGCCACGGAAGGAGGGAAACAATAGGACGCTCACGAAGAAACAACAACGAGAGTTGGCTCCTTGTAAGGTGCTACTCGAACAGTTGGAGCAACAGGACGAGGCCTGGCCGTTCCTCTTGCCGGTGAACACCAAACAGTTTCCTACCTACAAGAAAATTATTAAAACACCCATGGATCTCAGTACGATCAAGAAGAAATTACAGGACTCCGTGTAAGTTACACGCGTACCAACGACTACTAGTTAATTGAACGTACTCTCTATTTAGAAATGCCTCTTTCCCTAAAACTAAAAAAAAAAAAAAAAAAAAGTAAACAGTTCACCTAAGATCTCTAGCAAAAAAAA